AAATCTGTGCTTGAAATGTTCTCTGAATTCAGCTGTATACTCAACATTGTATTTTGACTATCCTGTACTTGTTTTAATTTTCTTTAACTTCAACCTGAACTTACATGTGAGCAATTGATGATCTGTTCCACATTCAGCCCTTGGCCCTCATTTTAGTTGGTGGTATTGAGCTGCTCCGTTGTCTCTTCCCACAGATGTAGTCAATTTGACTCCTCTGTGTGTTCCACCTGGTGAAACGCACATGTGTAGTGCTGAAAAGGGGTATTTGCAATGAGCCATTCGTCTTGCAAAATTCTATCATGCACTCTCCAGCTTCATTTCTATCACCAAGGCCATATTTTTCAACCACTGTTCCTTCCTCTTTGGTTCCAACTTTCACATACCAATTGCCAATAATTATCAATTCATCTTGATTGCATGTGTGATCACTTTCAGACTGAAGACGTTGATAGAATTCTCCAATTTCTTCATCCCTAGCTTTAGTGGTTGTGCAAATTTGAATTACAGTTATACTAACCGGACATCCTTGTATGCATATAGATAGTATCCTCGGTCACATATTTTGAGTGCCTTTGATTTGAGATGCTGATTTTCAGGGACTATATTTGACAGTATTCTGCTGCTGTTCATGAGGGTTTTTAACATCTGAAAATGTTCCACTGCTACTTGTAAGGTTTGCAGTGGCTAATTCCTCAGAAGTGGACAGTCTATCCTTTCTTCGTCATCTATTCTTAGTCTGGAAGCTCTACTGAAATCTATTCACCTTGGATGACCTTACTGTTGTTTGAAATACTGATGCCAGCTTCCAACATCACAGCAACACACAAGCTACCACTGTACCCCAAAATAACCGACCCCAAAATAACTGACCTAGTGGGTTATGCATTGGGTTGCTAATCACAAGATCAGTTTAAAACTATTCTGTCCTATAAGATCACTGAGTCAATCCACATAATGGTAGTGAGCTTGTTGTGATATAATTATGCTAAAAAGCTTTAGGAGATCATATGGCATTACACTCACATGCATATATGGGTATAGTAGATTTCTCTACATAATTTGTATATGCTGCTTGGATGAATATAGTTGTAAAAAATTAGAGAACTGAACTTAGGAGATCATGCTTAATTGTCCCAATTTCATGATAAAGTATGGAAAAAAGCATCTGCCAAAGTATGTAAGACAAATTCCCGCCATCCTTGCTTCTAAGGAGCACTCTGGCTCTTTTAGTTAACTCCTCTGAGATAACTAAAATATGTTAATTTTCAAAAAATGAACATACAACGTGCAGAAATGAATGGTATATGTTTTGCTGTGTATATTCACAACAATTTTTTAAGAGTGTGTATACAACAAACCCAGTTGAAAATTTAGTTTAATGAAACTTTAGCTGTAACATATTTCAGGCTTTGTGGAGTATTGGGGCCGGGTGGGGTTCAATTTAGTTAGACATTTATTGAACGCCTGTTGCGCTAGGCATTAGAGATACTAAGATTTTTTTCAATGACTCCCTATTACCTACAGGATGAATTCTATGACCCTTTGAAGGTGCATTGCATGCCCTGACCTTTTCCCACTTCTTCCAGGCCCATTTCCCAGCACACCTGGTACTTGGTTTCAGCTCTGCTATTTTCTACCCGTGGTATGTGTATCTTCTCTGGCTTCTCATCCGTGCTTTTTTCTTTAGCTGGTCAGCTTCTACTCACCCAGGAATGCTGCTCTGACTGGCCAAAATCTCTTACCACAGCCCCTGTTCATAAGCATCTCTTTACCCCTAATGCATTTTATTGAAATTATCTATTTACTTATCTATTCCATTAGAATATGAGTTCCTTTAAAGAGAGTGTTATGGCTTATTCATCTTTGTCTCACCAATGCTTGTTTCTTAGTAGTTATTTAAGAAATGTTTATTAGACTGAGTACTTAATCTGATAATAGGTCATAGAAACACCTGCTGAGAACAGTCACTGACCCAGAAGTCGGCCAATGGATGGTCATTAATCGGAATATTAATAACTTGAATACAGAGTTGCAGTATTTATTAGAAATCTTTTCAGAGTGCAGGGGTTTTCCCTTAGAAGGTAAGATTTGAACTGGGGCTCAGGGAATCTAGACTCAGCTTCTGGAACTTGCATTCACCCATTAGCACACTCATTTCTGTGTCCTTTTCCCATGAAGGGTTTATGTAGGCATGGTTTTCCTCTTTTAAGAGACACGAGTCACAGATTAATTTAGTTTGATGTAGCAAACTTTTTGGCAAAGTCCCCTGTTAAAACTTTATGTGATGACCTCAAAACCTATTTATTACACAGCCACAGTAGTTAAACAGCCTGGTACTGGTAAAATAATAAGCAAATAGACCAACAGACTAGAATAGAGAACCCAGAAATAAATTCATCCACCTGCAGTCAACTGATCTTCCATAAAGGGCCCAAACTCATTAAATGGGGGAAAAGATAGTCCCTCCAAGAAATGATGCTGGCTAAATCGGATCTCCATTTACAGAATAATGAAACAGGACCCTAACCCCCACCCCATGTACAAAAATGAACTCAAGATGGATCAAAGACCTAATCGTAAAGCTCATTGCTTTAAAGATAATCAGTGAAAAATATGGACATGCTTAGGGCCCTATTGCAGGGTATAGACACACTATCAAATATAACAAAGGAAACAAGATAGACAAAATAGGTGCCTGGGACCTACTAAAGATACTTGTGTGCATCAGATGACTTCATCAAGAAAGTAAAAAGAGCGCATGGAGTGGGAAAAATTCTTTTGACAAAAACACATCTGACAAGCGACTAATCTTTAATATCTCTAGAAAACAGCACCTCAGTTATATGAATGATTTTGAGCTCGAGCTTAATCATAAGCCCTAACCAAACAACCATTAGTTCTTATGACATGGCCTTGCTCACTATTTGCCCTCTTGAAGAGATCCCTAGGGAACCGATTACAAGGAACTATATGTGACCTCCTCCCTGGGGGACAGACAACCGAAAAGTGGGTGAAGGGAGACGTTGGACCGGGCAAGATATGACAAAATACCAATTTATAAACTATCAAGGGCTCACGAGGGAGGGGGGAGCGGGGAGGGAGGGGAAAAATGAGGACCTAATGTCCGGGGTTTAAGTGGAGAGAAAATGTTTTGAGAATGATGTACAAATGCGCTTTACACAATTGATGTGTGTATGGATTGGGATAACAGTTGTATGAGCCCCTAATAAAATGTTTTAAAAAAACCAAAAACCTATCACAACTGACAAACCTAAAAAAAAAAGAAAGAAAGAAAAAGAAGAGATCCCTGAAGATATGGGTGCTATAGTAAAGTGTAGATGGGTGCCATAGCAGTGTAGTGAAGAAATCAAATGGTGTCCTGCTGTCAGGAAGAATAGCATCTGCAGTCTTAAAGGCCTTTCTTAAAACAAGTAGCTATCTAAGTGAGGCTCAGCCAAGTCCACATGGAAATAGTACACCAACTCATGTGATCCAAGGATTGTAAATAATAAAAACCCAAGGATTGTAAATAATAAAATCCTAGACTGGAGGAGGGAATTATATTAGAGCTTATTGAGTACCCAGTTTGCAGAAGACTGTGGATAACAGTAAAAGCCCCAAATCCATTACAGTCTCCATGCAGATTAAGCCTCCTTCAGACCATTGATTAGGGATGTCAACAATCTTGCCCTCAGTGTATTGGGAAGTAGATTACCTCAGATATAGTTAGATGAAAATTTAACATAATTTGTTTTATCTTTTGACCGATTTTTAATTTTTTTAGTTTCCATTTTCTTCTGCTTTCTTTTAGATCGAAGTTTTTCTGTGTTTTATTTTGTTGTCATTGGTTTTTTGTGCATGTGATTTTCTTTATATTAAATCCAGGATAAGTAATTGAGAGAGGTAGTAATTAGATTCCTTACAGTTATAGGGAAAGTTGGGGGTAATGGGGAGCTAATGATGTGACAAAAGGAAGGCAATTTTCTCAAATTGATTGAAACAATTATTGTACCACTCTTTTTAACATATATTAAACCATGTAATTGTATGGTACTTGCCGTGTATACCAATAAAGCTGTTAGGAAAATGTGAGCGAAGAACAGGGACAGTTCACCAAAGATGACGTCCAAATGGATAACAAACATGAAAAATGCTCATGATCACAAACCCTCCAGTAGGTTCAAATCAAAGCAATGATGAGATACACCATCATGACAGCCGAAATAAAACCAAAAATGCTGGAGAGGTACAGAGAGACTAGAACCCTTAAACAATGTGGGTGAGAATGTAAATAGGTACAACTATTGTGGCAAGCAATAAAGCACTACCTCAAATAACTTGGAATCAGAATTCCATGTGATCCAACAGTACTTCAGCTGGGTATTTGCCCTAAAGAAGTAAGAGTCATAGTACACCCATGTTCATTTCAGCACTGTTCATAATCGCAAGAAGATGGAGACAATCTAAATGCCTATCAATAGAAGAATGGGTAAAGAAATGTTGGGATATATATCCAGTGGCATGGACTGACCTGGAGAACATTCTGCTGCATGAAATTAGTCATTCACAAAAGAGCAGATACTTTATGAGGCCACTGTTATCAGGAGGAAAAATACAAGACAAAGACTTTAATAGCAAAAGGAACAGCCTTTGGAGGTTACCAAGCAGTGAGGAGGGCAATGGAGGAAAGATAAAGTAATCGGGCCTGAGACCTGACAGGTATTAACATGAGTGAGGAGAAGACATTAATTCACAAAAGGGGAGAAGACAAATCCAAGGAGGTGGGGGAAGAGAAGCTGTTGCGATGAGGGAGGGTTGAGAAGTAGTTTAAACTGTTGAATAAAAAATTGATTATTTGTAATATAAAATCCCCACATCATTTTTTAAATGTATTAAACATTTTAAAGGTGTGATAATAGAAGTATCAACTTCCGTTTTGTGTTAGGCCTTTCTGAAAATAGGTACAGCTTCACTGAGTAACTGTCCTCTATTCTCCAAAGGCGGAGCAGCCTCCAGGAGTGACAGTGCTGACAAGAAGGCTCAGGGTCCCAAAGGTGGTGGCAATGCGATAAAGGTAAGTTGTTGATGTTAAATGTAAATATATAAATTGGTACACCTAGAAGGAAAGACAGGCCTGTTGATACAGAAGAGGAGGACTCGAGTGAAAGCGCCACACGACTTTATTTCTGATTGAACACAATATCCAGTAGTAGGAAAATTTTGAAATACAGTTCCAGTTGTGCAAGGGAAGATGGTCCAGGCTGGGCAGCTGGGGACCGGGGCAACTGTCTTGCACATCTTTGCAATCACTATAGGGATTTCATTCAACTGCTCTGTGTGGACCAAATGCCATTCCTCTGCCTCCAGACACAAATTTCAGTATGCTGCTTTCCAAAAGCACCGAAGAGAGACTATATAACACACTTGCTTGTCCTAGCACAGAGTCTGATCACATGCAAATTAGATTCTATCCTAAAGTTAAAGACATTTTTAAAAGTCGATCTCAAGTCGGAGTTAAGATGTACTGGTATTTATGAGCCAGGGACAGTGTGTCCGTCTGGGTTGACTAGAGAAATTCATAGACATTCGTGTATAAGAAAGAGCTTTATATCAAAGAGTAATTTTATATTAAAATATCACAGTCCAGATCAAGGCCATAAGTCTGATATTAGCCCATATGTCCAATACCAGTCTGTAAATTCCTCTTCAGACTCATGCAGGAAGATCGCAAGCCAGTGGGTAGAAAGTCTTGTGGATCCAGTGGCAGTGGAAACATGTCAATGCTGGCAGGGGTCTCCACGTGGCTCCTCCAGGACTCTAGCAGAACTCCTTGTGTCCTATCAGCAGGAATGCCTCGCAGGGAGTGAGTGTGTCCCGCCTCCAGCGAGCTATTTATCACCTTAGCGCCTCCAAAAGAGGTCATCAATCTGCAACCTGATTGACAGGCAAAACTCTACCCCTTCACTCTTAAGTCTCAAGTTGACAACAGATTATGTAACTACCACAGACAGTTAATCCCAGACACCAATTTGAGAGGTACAAGACCCCATGTGCATCTCCAAGGAGAGGACGGGCCAGAGGAATTAGATAGGCATGTCCTATCTAATCATGCCCATATAATGAGAGGAGTGAGTGTCTGGTTTTCCCAGGAGCCATTCACATAGTACTGGGATGAGGAAGATGTGCCATGTAGCCTTGGCTTTGCAGTGGTCCAGCATGGAGTTCTTTTCCTTTTCTTTAGGTTAATGACAGACTGATGATTGTCTTGCCTAATGTTGAAATTTAAAATAAGTATATCCTGTTACTTTGCTTGCTGGCGGTAATCTTCAGTATCAATTACAAATCAATATAAAGAAAACTAAAATCCTCCCAACTGGACCAATAGATAACATCGTGATAAAGGGAGAATAGATTGAAGTTGTTAAGGGTTTCATCGTGCTTGGTTCCACAATCAATGAACATGGAAACAGCAGCCAAGAAATCAAATAACATATACATTGGGCAAATCTGAAGAAGACCTCTTTTAAAGTATTGAAGAGCACAGACAGATGTTTCTTTGACGACTAAGATGCACGTAACCCAAGCAATGGTTTTTCAGTGACCTCATATGTATGTGAATGTTGGACATTGAATAAGGAAGACTGAAGAAGAATCGATGCATTTGAATTAAGGGTTCACAATTTTTTTATTTTAAAAAATTATTTTATTGAGGGTTCTTACAGCTCTTATAATAATCCATACATCAGTTGTATCAAGCACATTTGCACATATGTAACCATCATTTCCAAAACATTTTCTTTCTACTCTTTCCCTTGGTATCAGCTCCTCTTTGGGGAGATATGGATTCAAATTGCATTGTGCATTGAATTATGATGCTGGCAAAGAATATTAAAAGTACCGTGAACAACCAGAAGAAGTAGAGCCAGAATGCTCCTTAGAAGGGAGGCTGGTGAGGCTTCATCTCATTTACTTTGGACATGTTATTTATCAGGAGAGATCAGTCCCTCGAAAAGGCCAGACATCGTGCTTGGTCAAATAGAAGGGAAGTGAAAACGGCGACAACTTTTAATCAGATGGATTACACAGTAGCTGAAACAATGGGCTCCAACATAACAGCTGTGAGGATGGTGCAGTGCCAGGTAATGTTTCATTTTGCTGTACATAGGGTAATGAGTCAGACCGACTCCATGGAGGCTTACAACAGCAATGTTCTCAGACCTGTGTTCGGAAGTCACCTTTGAGTATTCAGGACAAGATGACATTTCCAAATTCAGAAGACAACTTTGCACATATTAAGAGCACAAAAGCCCACGCCCTTGATTCTTTCCTTGGCCACCTAGTGATGTCCCTGCCGTAAAAGCCCAGAAGAATCCAGCCGCCTCTAACATATTCTTATTTAACCATCCTGCAGACAGTCCTAGTCTGTGTGACACAAGTGGAGGAGAAAAAAATAGACACGTCCTTGCGCACCATATATGCTAAATAAAAACATAATAAACAACAAAAAAACAAGCAACACAATGTCAGATAATCATAAATGATACAAGGAAAACTAAACTAGGTAACAGGATGGAGCATACTAGATTGTTACTTAGGATAAGTACACCATACTAATGTAAGATGTTCATAGAAGTAATTAGATATGGGATATTCCATCACAATTTTTCTGTACGTCTAAAGCTGTTCTAAAATTGAAAGTTTGGTTATAAAATTAAAGCTTGTTTTTGGGTTTTTTAAAAAAGAGCCGATGCACTTCTTAATTAATTTTAAGAGGCTAGCCTTAACACTGATATAAAACCAAGATAACACAAAATTGAGAAATCTCAACCAATATGTTGTTACTAGGTGCTGTGGAGTCGGTTCTGACTCACCTTGACTTTCTGTACAACAGGAAGAAACACAGCCTGGTCCTGCATCATCCTCATCATTGTTCTTACGTTTGAGCCTATCGGTGCAGCTACCATGTCAGTCCATCCCACTGAGGTCTTCCTCCGTTTTGCCTCCCCGCTACTTTACCAAACAAGATGCCCTTCTCCAGGCACTGGTCTCTGCTGCCCAGAGTAGGTGAGACAGTCTCACCATCCTTGCCTCTAAGGAGCATTCTGCCTGTACTTCTTCCAAGACAGATTTGTTGGTTCTTTTGGCAGTCCATGGTACTTTCAGTATTCTTTGCCAGTACCACGATTCAATTCATCTACAGTCTTCCTTATTCAGTGTCTAACTTTCACATGCATATGCGGCCACTGAAATTACCATGACTTGGGTCAGGCTCACTTTAGCCCTCAAAGTAATATTCTTGTTTTTCAATATTCTAAAAAGGTCTTGTGCAGCGGATTTACCCAATACAATGCATCTTTTGATCTCTTGACTGTTGTTTCCATGAGCATGGATTGTGGATCCAAGTAAAACAAAATCCTTGACAACTTCAATCTTTTCTCCATTTACCATTATCTTTTCTATTGGCCCGGTTGTAAAGATTGTGCGCTTCCTGACAATGAGTGCTCCATAGGTTTAGGAAGCCGGAGAAGGGCTTCCTTGCTCTGCCTCAGACTGTATACTGTAACATGAAGTGATTGGAAGTGAGCGGGCACAGCTCTCATTGTCAGCGTCAGAGCCTCTTTCACACATGCTCCATGGGCAGCTTTTCCCCGCTGTCACAAAGAGCTATGACGCAATGAACATTGGAGCACAGATGTCTGGCCGTGGTTTGTTTCTTGCTGGGTCGTATGGTAGCTCAATCTCCATCTGTTTTAGATAGTCTCTATATAGCTTTACAACTGTTCCCCAATCGTATATATTTGCTGTAAATTAGCAATTAGCTTTAAGGAGTTGGTGATATGATCGAGAAGCCCCAAGTACTTTTTCCACTGGATCTCCACTGCATCCGTTGTCAAATTGCAATTCAGGATCAGTCCAGTGATCTCCTTTGTTAGCACAGCTTTGGGGCTAGAGGGCCACTAAACCATTGTCTTAGAGAGGTAAAATCAATGAAGCTGATAGAGAAGGAAAGAGAGGGTAAGCAATCCAATTGACCATTTCCACTTTGGCTTTTGTTAACACCTCTTTTTCTCCTACTATTTAGCTCTTCCTTTTTATTATACTTTTTGAGCTATTGTCTTTCCAGCTTACTTAAACATTGGTATTCTCCAAAGTTACCTTGAAACCTTTTGTCCTCTTCTCATTCTGCATAGCCTCCCAGGATAATCTCATCAGTTCACACAGCTTCAATAACTGGGCCATGCTAATCAATCTCAAATTCTTTCTGTAACTTGGCTCTTTTTCCCATGTGAAACCTGGATACACCATTGTTAGTTGGTCAGTAGTGCATGCACCCCTGCAGATACTAGAAGCTCATTGTCTGACCTGCCAAACTGTCCAAACCTAAATAGCTATTTATTCCATTATAAAATGATGAGTAGTATCCCCTTTCTGTGATGTGATCATGCATTAAATTAGAACATTGCTTCTTGAGTGTGGGACAGTTTGGAATGAGGAAGACTGGAAGCTGTTTCACCAGATTGAGCTGAGGTATGAGGATCTACCTTTGTTCCCCAATGGACTGATTCGCTAGTGTCTAGATTGTTTCCACCATCTCCACTGGCCAATGCTGAGCACGTTCTGTAGATGTTAGCCTCTTCAAGACACGTTCTGATGCCTTCTTTCCTTTGATGTGCTCTTGTCTCTGGTATAGCTCCTCCAGTCAGCGAGTTAGCACTTTGGGCCTGGGACATGGTTCCTCCCTCACCAAATTTCAGTACCTGAACTTTGAAGACAACTTGGTTTGAATGTGTCAGAATTCACAAGGTAGACACAATAGCTACCTACAATGTAAAATAACATTGTATTTTGATGAGAAATTGGAAATTCTATGAAACAGATCATCTTGACAGTCATTTATCATCCCTGTCAGATAAAACCGTTTCTGATATTTATCGAATCAAATTGAATTTTCTCAAAATTCAAAACCTTTTGAGAACATGGAGATACTATTGTTTTTATGGTACACAAATGGGGAGTTCTTTAGAGGTTGAGAGAACTTGCGGAGGCGGTAGTATTTGACTCCAGGACTCAAACGCAACCATTGTCATCTGTCTCCTCTTTCTATTACGATTTAGATACCTGGTCAAACATTGGAGCGTCTCACAACCAGATGCCTATTTTTCCAACTACCTCAGAGCTTGAAATAGTGCCTGGGTAGTGGAAGTACATCGGGCTGTGACCATCACCTAACTAGGCAAACTTCTAGGACTTTCCATTGTTGTAAGCTAATGTGTCTTTCACTAGTAGGGTAATTCTGACTGTCGTATTTATGCATTTTTTTCTTTGTAGGTCAGACACATTCTGTGCGAAAAACATAGCAGAATTATGGAAGCCATGGAAAAATTGAAGGCTGGAATGAGATTCAATGAAGTAGCTGCACAATATAGTGAAGATAAAGCCAGGCAAGGGGTATGGTGCTCTTATCATCTAAAACACTCATCCCTTAGATAGGAAACGCATGCCATGCATTTTAACCTTAAAAGCAGAAATGTTCCATTTTTGAATGGGTAAGTAAGGGCCACATTTGCCTAAACCTAGACATGAACAAACTTATATAGCTAACTTAAAAGTTCAGCAGTATCATAGATGCTTATATGTTCAGCCTAGGGTTAGACTTCTGCCTTTTTGCCCTTATTAAACTTATTCCTTTATACCCCAGGTGACTAAACCTGGTAACCATAACATTCATGTTGGGAAATTCTCACGTATCATCACATATCTTTTGGATTTTGCAGGGTGACTTGGGTTGGATGGCCAGAGGGTCCATGGTAGGACCATTTCAAGAAGCAGCGTTTGCCTTGCCTGTAAGTGGATTAGATAAACCTGTGTATACAGACCCTCCTGTTAAGACAAAATTTGGTTATCATATTATTATGGTTGAAGGGAGAAAATAAAATCCTGTGAAAATTGAATAAATGTTCTGTATTTGCATTTTATGAACTGGGTCAGTGTGAGTTAGTATGGGCCAAACTAGGTAGATGTCGATAGTAAATGCCGTAGTTTACAGTCAAGCCAACTCCTTTTAATCTGTACTCCCTTTTCTTCTAGAACTACTTTATCTGATTTTCAGTATGTCTCATTAACATATGGGACATATTGAAACATCTCTGGAAGGCAAATGTTAGCTGACACTGTTCATGTAACTGAAAATACTAAGCATTGAAACAACAAATTAGTGCATAAGGACCTTAATAAGTTCCTGGACAAACGCTTGTTTTATCAGCTTTGATTTGCAGGGAGGTTAGTTTTTAGATATGTAACATATTACAAAAGGAGCCCCAGGAGTACCATGGTTAAGCGCTCAAGCCATCACTTCCAACTTACCAATGGTTCTGTAAGAGAAACCCCTGGCGATCTACTCCTAGAAAGGTTGCAACCTAAAAACTAATATGCCATATGTACTTGTGGATAAGCCGAGTTTTTCAGCACATTTTTATGCAGTTTTTGTGGTAAAATTAGGTGCCTCAGCTGATATTTGGGTCTGCTTATATTCAAGTATATACGGTAAGGCAATTCTACTGTCACATGGGTTCACTATGGAACAAAAGCCACACTACATCACTCAACAGTATAGTGTGTGGCACAAAAATTTCTTTGTTTTTTTAAATAAGCAACGGAGGAAACAAAGACATTCAGTTCTCTCTTGGGGTGTTTTTATTTGATTAAGGAGTCATTTACCTTGGCAACAGGGAGAGATGTAGGCACAAAAAGATATATGTAATTTTTCCTGCATCTTCAAATTCATGAATTACATTGACTGTACCTTCCAAAGTCAACATTATATGTATGTACAGTTTTAAAAATCTAATACACAGTATTTATGACATACAAAAAGCGTAAAGTTCTCGCTAAAGGAGGGAATGCAGAATAGAATGGCAAATTCTCCGAGACTTGATTTTTTTTAAGCCGTGCAGGATGGATAAGGCCCTAAAACTATTATCCTTAGACCTTTAAAACTTTAGCCTAAAATGTCCACTGAAGTTGACTTAAAATCAAGGGGTAGTTTAGTTTAGCTAGTAAGGAATGTCTGCCTGGATCATTGTGCTCTTCTTTGAATGTCTGTCTATATGACATCAAGTTGACAACAACACGAAAAGCTTCATTGGACAGCATAAATCCCCAAAGAAAATCACCACGTCATATCATGATCAAACTCCTCTAAATCAAAAACAAGAAAAGAAAGCTGACAGCGGCTTGTGAAAAGCAAAGTGTCACCTACTAGGGGAACCAGCAGACTAAGTTCGGATTTCGTAGTAAAAACCATACAGGTAAGACACTGAGAACCTCTGCTTTGAGATGATTGCCTAGACCCTAATTCCCAACCTTGGCAGATAATTGGAATCCCCTAGAGATCTAGTGACACTCCATTTCCAACCCAATGAACCAGAATTTCTAGGGGAAGGAACCCAGTAATTTTAAGTTGCATCAGATCCATGGGTGATTCCAATAATCAAGTAAGTTTGTGAATCAAGAGAGACATACTGCAGAAACTATATAAGAAGAGAGTAAACCAATACACAGGAGAAATCTAGAGCCCCCAGCCCAAATCTCAAGAATGAAATCAGTATGGTGCGCCCTCAAAAAGTTGCAAATAAAAATAGATTATAACCCAGCAAAACCTCTGCGTGGTATATATCCTAGAGAAATAAAAGCCAGGACATGAATAGTTGATATATACACACCTATGTTAATCACAGGACTATTTACAATAGCAAATAAAAGATGGAAGCACCCTAAGTGCCCATCGGCACTTATACATACTGATACATACACACACACACCGAAATACTGCAGTGTTAAATAATAAAGAAGAATCCGCCAAACACCTCACAACATGGATGAACCTCGAGGACATTATGCTGAGTGAAATTAGTCAAGCACAAAAGGATAGGTATTGTATAAGACTACTTTTATAAAAATCCACAAAACATTATCACACTAAAAGAAACATTCTTTGAGGGATGCCAGGAGTGGGAGAGGAAGCTATGGCTAGAAGGTAGGCAAGTATTAACTCGGATGAAAGAGAAGGCAATGTACAGTAACAGAAGTTAGTTAAAGTATGGAGGCAGGGGAAGACACTGGGATGTTTGCAAGAATTAAAGACAACAGGCAAATACTGTAAATATACACAATCCTGTAATAGTGATCAATCTGAAAAAGAGTGACCATCTGTGTGTAGATTAGTGCTGATCCAGGAGTAAGGGGGAGAGTGGGTTTGACAGAATATTTGTATGTATGCATATACCTTTGCTAAAAATATATCCAGGAATGTGGTGGAGCATACAGTGGGCAAAGTTATGAAAACTTCTTAGATAATAACCAAATACCCTGGGGTAAGTAGTCACGGAGCCTGGGAGGATAGGAACATAGTCTTAGGGGACACCAGGGTCGATTGGCGTAACACAGTTCACCAAGACAATGATCTACATGCTAAGAGCAACAGGGCTCTTAAAAATCTAGTGAGCAGCTCTGTCAGGTGTAACTATTGATATCTCCCCATCTAAAGGAAAGAAAAGTGGTGAAAAAATCGAAAAACCCATTGAAACAACTCATTCAATGGACTAATGGACCACAAAATCATCAGTCTTCACAACACTGAGACCAGAACTATGTGGTACCCAGGTACTACTTACCAACTGCTCTAACAAGAATCACATTAGAAGGTCCTAGATAGAGTGGGAGAAAATGTGAAACAGAACTCAAAATCCTAAAAGAGACTAGAGTTACTGGTTGGATAGAGACTCACTTTCATGTCGAGTTCAACTCAACCTTGTGTTAGAATCATGAGCCATTTAAGTTCAAATGGGGCAGCATTTACCCAAGGAGAGTGTGCGCAAAAGAGGAATGGAAACAAGAACATTGTAAGGAAAAGGAATAGTGATGGTCCATTGAAGGGATTCAAATGGTGAAACAAGATGTGTTTAAATTGTTGAATGTAAAACTTAAGGTCTGCTCTCTTAACCTTCAACTAAGTCCCACTAAAAAGTTTTTTAAAAGAAAAACTTTAGCTAGAAATCTTAGGGGGCAGTGAGTTTATGTAAATGAGGGAAGAATAACTGAGGAAAGGGTGACAATGATTATACAACTCACTGTAATTAACATCACTATACTGTACATGTAAAAACTGTTGACGTGGTGTGTGCTTTGCTGTGTTTATTAACAAAATAAAGTTTAATGACAGAAGCATAAAGGATATTATAAGAACTACATTTGCTGTATATACATTATATATAAAGTTGCCATCCAATTGATGCCTGCTCACAGAGGTCCTATAGAGTTGAACTACCCCATAGCGTTGTCAGGATTATAATCTTTACAGGAGCAGATTGCCACAACTTTCTTCCACAGAGTAACTGGAGGGCCAAACTGCCAGCCTTCCATTTAACAGCTTAACCATTGTACTTCCTGGACTCTACGGTTCCTAAAATAAAACTCGACTAACATTACTGTGTGATGTTCAGTAGTGATCCAATACATTGCAGTCTCTCCTTCAACTGCATTTAATTCACATTATGCCCATTACAACAGCAGCTCATTTCATTTTTAATTGTAGAAGATACAGAGTTTTTGAGCATCGCTGCAGGTTATGCCTCCATGAGATTTTTTTTTCAAAACCATTATATTGAGAGAAAATACAGATATCATATATCATTCCATAATTCAATCACATCAAGCACTATTGTACAATTGTTACCACAATCAATTTCAAAATGTTCTCTTCCTTCTTGAACTTGATATCAGCTCCCCTTTACACACACCCCACACTGTACCCCCCCATCTCCCCAAGAACCCTTATTCTACTTGTCTCTATGGGTTCATCAATCTTGGGTTTCATGTACAAAAAAAACCCAGAAAAACATATAACAAAAATTCAAGAGGGAGGAGGGGGGAGCGGGGAGGGAGGGGAAGAATGAGGACCTAATGTCTGGGGTTTAAGTGGAGAGAAAATGTTTTGAGAATGATGTACAAATGTGCTTTACACAATTGATATGTGTATGGATTGCGATAACAGTTATATGAGCCCCTAATAAAATGTTTAAAAAAATAAAATTAAAAAAGAATAGTGTATGAAGTTTTAATAGATTGTCTTAAAACTAGCAGCCATGTAAGTGAGGTGACAGCCAATTGCTCACCTAAGAAACACATCAGCCTGTGTGATGCAAGAACTGTAAATAATAAAATCCAAGGTCAGTGGAGGGAATTGCATTAGAGCTTACATTCTGAGTGCCAGGTTTGCAGAAGGCTATGGATATATAGTGAAAGCCCAAAATTCATTTGCAGAATCCTCATGGGGATTACACCTCTATGGAATTCCCTTAGAGCATGGAACAGTGATGTGAATAGCCTTGCCCTCAGAGTACGTCATAAATTAAATTAATAAAGATATAATTAGATTAAATTTTAAAAAAATTCAAGAGGGCTACACACAATGACAAAATATATCAGAGATAAACCCCAATATGAACCGGGGGAAAATGTTGAAAACCAGATTAGGCCTAACATGTATCAGAGGGGATCAAGTGACAGGGTTCTAACTGTTTAATTCAGGTTTATCATTTTGATCTCCTATAGTCATCTCTCCAATACTCAGGTAACCAGTTTATTCCCATCCCTCCATTATCGATAGAGCGAAAATCACTGAAGGCTTATTTCCTCTGTAGATCTCATAAATGTATCTTGGGCTCCCACTGTCATCCATAGTCACCTGCAAACCAGAATCTCACAATTTAGGCTCTGGTACAAGTTCCTCCTTTGGCTTTGGATTATATGATTTACAATCCTTCAGTGACAGGTGTTGGTGTGTTTCTTCCATGTGGACTTAGTTGGCATTCTCTTTAGATGACTGCTTGTTTGGAAGCAAGCCTTTAAGCCCCCAGATGCTGTTTTATCTCTAGTCGGGCACCATCTGATTTCTTTCCCACACTTTGCTATAGCA